TATTAATTTATCCATGATGAGTGTTAGTAGCGATAGCAAAATATTTATTTGCTCTGATTGTTTCTCTATTAGCTTTTCAAGCCTAGAGAAGTTGTCTGTGTTAGGTGGGTTGGGGACACTATTTTGGGAAAGATCCCTTTGGCTATTCGGGTTATTTTGGATGCCTTGTACTGCTTGGGCATAGGAGGTTGAGGTGATGATGAATTTGATAGGACTGGGTGTTTGGTTGGTTGAGGGGATTGGGGTAGTCGTGAATTTTGGCGGGCTGGGTGTTTGGTTGGTTACCTCTTTTGCTCTGAGTTCAGGGTACCTGTTTATGTATAGAGTTTTATAGGCTGAGCAGCCTTTATAGTTGGCAGTCGTTAGTGGATTGCAATACGGCGAACCTGTTGTGGGTGTTTATTTGTATCGTTGATTGTTCGTTCCGGGTGTCGATCGTGTTTGGTTTTCATGTTTCTATTTTCCGTTTCTTTGTAATATTAGCGTCGTTGGTACGGAGGGTTCTGCTGCACTTCTGCCACGGGGAAGGTAGCGCGGTGTAGTTGCGAGTTTGCTCCGGAGCGCCTGGTCGCGATTGCTGGGCCCTCACTGGTCGCGATTACTGGGCCATCATCGAGCTAGTTAATTCAAAGTGAATAACTAGTCCTCGAGGCTATGAGGCTAGTATTCGGGTTGGGGTTAGGTGCGTGGGATTTTCTTCTCCGTAAAGGGTAGGAAACACTTGGCTGTGTTCACTTCCGGCGGTTGGGCGACACATGCTGTTTTCGGACTTCACTGGGCACTAGAGACACGTCTGCACGCTTCGGCACTCAACAGCGAACCAGTGTACCTTGTTGCAGACCGTTTCTTATGGAGAATTCTTTGCTTGATGTGTTTGAACCTTCGGTCATTACGAATGTTCGGCTTGTGATCACGTCCCAGACTATTTTAATTAGGTGTTTAGGAAGGTTTATCTTGATCAATTTGTATATGAGACCTGGGATCCAGACTGTGTCAAAAGCTTTTTCGAGGTCTATTAAGCAGGCGGCTACTCGTTGTTTTGCGTTTAGGGCCCAGCAGATGTCCGACGTAAGTTTGTTTATTGCGTGGATTGTGGTGTGTTTGTACCTGAAGCCAAATTGATTTTCTGGGATTATGTCATTTTTTGTGCAGAAGAAGGTTAAGGGGTTGTTTATGATTATTTCAAATACTTTGCTTATGTTGGGGAGGAGACTTATGGGTCGTAGGTTTGCAGGCGATGAGCCGTCTTTGTCTTTTTTTGTAATAGCTATCAGTTTGGCTTTTTTCCATTTTCTGGGGAAATATGTGTTGTTTAGTGCGTTGTTGAAGAGTACTGTGTAGTAACATTTTATTTTGTTCGGTAGGAGCTTGAGTAAAATGTTTGGGATGCCGTCGAAGCCGGAGAATTTTTTGTTGTTTAGTTTGGAGAAGATTATGTTTAGTTGATTGTAATTTGTGAAGTAGTTTATTTCTGGATCTGGTTGTTTGGGGTTGTCTGCGGTGTTTTCGTTTGAGGATGCGCAGACTGTTTTGTTTAGCGTTTTGTCTTGTTCCATTTCATTTTTG